TAAAAGAAAAAGAAAAACATTTCAGGATAATACTCTGTATAATCTCATCACCACAAGTCCCAGTATATTTTACTACACTGAGGTGAATACTGATTATTTCAGTCTTGGCTTCTTTCACCTAAGATTTTCTTACTAATTCACACTATCTAAATCATAAGACCAAACTGTTATAAGAGGGAAAATCCTCCTGAGAAAGGTCATGTTGACAAGTCAATGTCATAGTTTTTGTCTAAGTTTTCTGAGTATTTAAGGTATTTGAGGAGGCCTTATGACATAGTCTCCAAGAAAGAATATTAAGATAGCAGTAGTAGAATCTTTATTCCCACCATAATTTCAAAAGACTTAAATCATAATCCTTAAAGCTTGTTTTAAACCAAGAGCAAATAAAGTTGCCTTTCCTAGTTTGCCCATGGATAACACTCCTGAGCAGAACACATAAAGACTTTTTCTACCAATGGTGTGCTCTCCAAATGCCCACTGTGTTCCACAGAGCCCGTTCTCGGCTGGGCACGGGAGTGTGAGCCACATCAAAAATGCCAGTGGAAGAACAACGCTCATATGGCCTTCTCTTTTTCAACTCTTTGTCCATTTTTCCTTCTAGAAATAAAAGCCCCACCCCACTCTCATCCTGATTTCTATGAAGTATATCTGAAAAAACAAAAAACAATCACTCTGCTCTGTATATCACATTCTAAAGGGTTGAATATGCCTGCCTTACTTTTCATTCATCTTTTTTTAGTTCTAATGCTAACACTGACTCCTACTGCAATTTAAAAATAACTCAGTTAATAAAATATTTATTTTTGGAAAATGACATCTTCCCAAAGAGAAAAACAAATTTCTTCTGTTCTAGAAATAAAAATTAAAGAAATTACACCATGATTTTGAGAGATGCCCATGATCTGACCAAGAATTCTCCAGTCATCACCATCATCATCATCTCCTTTTTAGAGGATCAGAGCACTACACTAGGCATTCTCAAGGTATTTCCTCTCATGCTCAGTGCTGCTGCTGCTTTACAGGTGAGGAAACAGGTCACAGAGACTGAGTGATTTATACAAGGCTATCTAACAGATCCAGAGCCAGGATTTTAGCCCATGCTGACCGAGATGGAAAGTCCCCATTCCTTCCATTCTGTCCACAGAGGTATGGATGAAAAAGGGGTTCTACAGAAAGTAAATTCACAGGGTGAACTGATCATAGATTCCTAACTAGGCAGGTCATGGGGCAGTCACAGTTAGCCATGTAACTTCTTTACTGAGAGCACATAACCTTAACTATTCTGTAATACAATGCCCACCTTGCTTTCTCCCACCTTCCTTTCTCCCACCTTCATATAATCCTCCTTAGTTCCCTCAATTTCAAATGCATAAAAGAAAACAACAAAACTGTCATTCTCAAAAGCAGGAGACGCCTTCCTTCCTGGAAACTGTTGTCAGTTTTGGCTCAAATAAACTCATATAAAAATTCTATACAGGTCTGGATGTTTCTTATGTCAATACAGGACTTGTTTTATGGGGCTCCTTACTGACTGCTGACATTGCAGGCCATAAATCAGCAAGGAGTTAGGACTGGGGACACTGGGGAAAACTCCCTTTCTGATTATATGCCAACATTTTTTAAATTGTTTTTTAATTTCTTAGTATTGAAAACATTACATCTATAGAATATAACATTAAAATAAATTTCAAACTCCATGTAACACAGTAATTGAAACAAAATGTCTGTAAGTTCAATACAGGCAGTCCCCTGTTTTCGATATAATGCACTCCTGAAAATATATGCTAAAACTGAGTATGTGAAACACCAGACTTTACACACTATTTGAGGTAGATACCAGTCTCAGAGAACTAAAAAACACACATAAACTCTTTCACAACATTCTGAACCCAGTATGAAGATTTAAGTCTAATGAACATCAGAAAGAGACTGAAGATACAACACTTTGAGCACCCTAATTAATGCCATCTTGATCTATATTGTATTAAGTTCATGAGATATATACTTCTCAATGCTAATATCTAGAACTTTTATTTTTCCATTTAGTACTCACTTTCATTAAATAAGAACAAAATATACTCAAATACTCAGTTACTACACAAAAACTAACCTAAAGGCAAGGACAGTAGTATCTCCAAATATTAAACACTGGCTGGCAGACAGCGCCACCATGCAAGAGTTCCTGACGTTCATTTCTCACCTAATACACAGATATCCAAAAATAACATATAAAAGGCATTTATACAAATCAGTACATAATGTGTAAAAGTTTGGGTTAGCACCAATATCAAATATATCAATGCTGAGGACTATCTGTAATTAATCAAAACAGAACCATCAAGTTATTGCTATGGTTCTTCCTTCTTGGAGAAAGAGCAAACGCATCCCCAGTGGCACAGGTGTATTTGTTTCCCAGGGATGTTACCAGGCAGGGGAAGAGTTTTTGCAGTGTTCCCACATACCTATGGCTTTCTGCTGCATTAACACTCCCCTCCTGTTATTTAATAAAGAGGCTTAAGACCTGGTAAAAAGATTTCATACCATCTGAGGTAGGACAGAGCAGTAAACAAAGGGGCAAGGGGACAAGCAATAATAGGAATGCTGTCATTCTAATCACCACCTTCCTCCCTCCTCCAATTCCAGTAAGTTGTTCCAATCCAAGAAAGAACTCCTGGCTCCATCTTCTACGTTCCCACAGCAATTTCTATCCCCCACAGTACATATTTTATTAAAAGGCAAAGACTGAATTCCATTCATCTCTGCATCTATCTCAAGAACTTGCCAGCCTGGCACACAGCAGTCACGCAAACACCTAGAGCTAGGTGGGCCAGTGAACACATCTTCTCAATTGAAACCACATTTTATAGAAATTATACAGAAAATTTGTTTCCAAAGTCTGAAAATAAAATTTGACAAATACATGTTTAACCATGTATGTTTCCTGGTTCTCCAACAGACTGTTCAATATTGTTCCCTAAGAAACAAGTACAGTTGTCTTTACAGAGTCTTCAAAAACCTATAAGACATCATGAAAAAAATCAATTTCTTTCCACAAATATTATACAACTATAAAAACAGTCATTCAGCCCTGGCCAGTTTTGCTCAGTGGTTAGAGCATCAGCCTGCCAATCGAAGGGTCATGGGTTCAATTCTGGTCAAGGGCACTTACCTGGGTTGCAGATTCGATCCCCAGCCCCGGTCGGGGTCATGCGGGAGGCAACCAATCGGTGTCTCTCTCTCTCCTGTCAATGTTTTTTTTTCTTTCTCTCTTTCTCCCTCCCTTCCCCTTCCTCCCTTCCATTCTCTCTAAAAAACAATGAAAAAAATAATAATAATAATAAAATGTTTAAAGCGGTCATTAGGTTAAAAATACACATAAGGTGGATATTCTTACATATAATTAAACAACTTCAATCAACTTGCTTTCCAAATCTCTCCTCCTTTAAACTTTATTTTGTGATGCTAGAAAGATATTCTTTAATAGTACATTCCTAATTATCTGACCTAATTAATGTTTTGGAGCTATGAGAGTCGGGGAAAGTGAGTGTAGGCGGCAACTCTAAAACCAGAGCTACAGAAGGGCACAGGCATCAGACCAGAGTAAAAATGCTGACTCCAGGACAGTGGGTCCCCTCATCCCAGGACAGTCTACAGTGCCCATCAGGGGTCACTGCATAGATTAAAGAATATTTGTAGTTTTATTTCATTTTTTACTACAGAAAATAAATACCAACCTTAGCTCCAGGAAGTACTTCATTCTGTTTCAGCGTGAGACTCAACTCCAACCTACCAATTAGCACTCCAATCTGCACTGGGTCAGAGGGCGCTACCTCTGGTAAAGTTCTCGTTAGCTGTGGGTGTGGCTCATAGACAATTTTAGGGTTCCAGCTAGGTGACAGCTTTGGCTCAGTTTCCTAAAATAATATATTAAGAATAAAGTATGTTACTGTACATAAACTGAAATACAAAATACAAATGTCAACTAAAGAAGAATAAAGTATTTGACATGTGAAACTGTATTAAGCTACAATAGATAAAGCGGTATCTTCCAGCTAGACATTTTATAATTAAGAAAATCTGATTTGTGAAACAACATAAAAGACAAATTCTAGAATAACTGATTTTGATACAGAAAATGATTCTCTAGTCTTAGAAGGAATAAAAAGCTCCTTAATATAAACCTTTTTTAAGATAAGATATGTAAGATTAATTTTCAGCAATACAATCACTATGTAAAGTAAATGTGAACATTTTTTGATTTCCTGTGTTTACTGTATAAGGACATTAGATGTTAATATACCATTTCTCCCCAATGTCTCTCTATCAAATTAATACACAGCAAAAAGGCATTCAATTATAAATGTGAATGTTTAAAAATCTCTTGAAATATGTCCCACTACTCAATAGTTGTGCTAACGTGCAGATCAGATGGAAACTCATTAACACATTATATGTCCTAGCAACATTTAATAGCTCTCATTTAAACCTTTTAAAAAATCTGTGTTTTAGTTTTGGTTTCTCTGTTTTGTTTTTCTTACCACTGGTGCAGTTGAACACACTGGAGAAGATTTTGCTGATGCAGAAAACTCGTCCCAGAAGAGAGATACTCCAGAGAGCTGAAGTAACTTGTGAGCAAAAGCTGTGGGCTGATGCACATTAATTCCTGAGGACTCATCAGCAGTTTCATCACAGTATACAGTTCTGAAAGTTAACAACAAAAAGGGCATTTGCATAAAACTCCTAGGAAAACCTACCTGCAATGGTAAGAAATGCACAAAGCTTTTTAAGTTAAAGGAATTTTTAAGTGTTAGCACATTAGAATATGCCTATAATGAGGGTCAGCACTACCATGATTTACCATAGTAAATATTTCTTGAAGAGACCTAACCCCCAGGAAAGATAACTTTATAAGGCTCTTACATGGGGGAGAGGGGTGTCAATAACTTCCTAAAGTTAGCTTCAAGGAAAACAATTCCCGAGTCCTCTCACAAACACATACAAACACACTCGGGTAACAGTGAGACAGCACGTGGCCCCAAGTCAAAGCCTGTCATAAATGACATTTCTTGAATTCTTATGACTATGCTATAAATTCGTGACTTAATCAAAATAAAGTAGTTCTAAATGCATGAGGGTTTAGATATTATTTAACATACCATTTAAGGTAGTGCAAACTCATTCCAAAAATCCTTTCACAATAACTAATACGTATGTTTTGTGACAAGACAGAAACCGCAACATATCTGCTTAAAATTTGGCAAAAGTCCCCACAGATTCATATACAAGTGTCTTTGGTACTCGGTATACATACTTCATTCTGATTACTGCTGGCAGTTCACATGGCATTAAGACACAGGTGAACAATCAGAAACTCTAATAAACACCCATGAGTTGGTATGTAAGTCAATCCCTAGTGGAGAGCTATTTACAGGGGGTCTAAGTGGGCATACACAAAAAACCAAAAGTGATGTCTTTCTATCTTTTTATGTAAATCACTATTGCCCATGTTGACCTTACAACATTCTCACAGAATCCTCAAAGAAAACAGTAGTCTTAGCTGTTCTCATCAAAGCAACAAAAATGTTGTTCACGTTAATGAGACACACCTAAATAGTACACTGTTTATGTGCAAAGACTGAAACTCTCCAACAGGAGTGCCTTGTGTTTAGTAGCACTTAAATATGCATTGTTTTGATTTGATAATAACTAAAAGAGAATGACTCGCTTTGAATTCAACATAGTATTACATAATTGTAATCCCAACTGGTACTTCACGTTTTCCATAATGGGACTGGAGAGCGGCACTACTCTGAAATTATGCAATATATTCATTTAATATCATTATCTCACATCTCCAAAAGTATTCTGAAATCTAACATAAGACTTAGAGTATATTACTCATTTTTTGAAAAACAAAACAGAATAAGGTAATTTTTTTCAGCTATAAAAAGTTTTACCTTTCTATTCGAATTTCAAGTGCAGTTCCAGTTTTGGAATTTTCTGGTACATGTTCAATTCTCAAGACAGTGTCTATAAAAGTGACTTTCACTCTTCTTAGTACTAGAGTAAACAGGTAACCATCAACATAAGAGACATAAATAAAAACTCTGAATGAAAGAATACTAAATTTGTTTCATATAAACTTACAAAATAAAATCAAATTGCATTCCTTTCCTTAAAAATTCCCAAATTTTGGTTCTATAATAACTATTCTGCTTTACTGAGCACTTACCCCTTGTTACATCTCAATAGACACTTGGGGCAGTGACTAACACTTTCTGTTGAAGTCAATCCCAATTCTAAGCATAATAAAATAAACCAAGGAGAAACTAGAGTACAAAAGAACATGAAATTAAGTTGAATACAATATTTAAATAATCTCAATCCTAAAGTTCTGAAGTGAGAACAGTTCATTTAAAAATCACTCCAATGACTTCCTTATACAAGACTTACTAAATAAAGGTACTAAATAAAATCTCAATTTTTTTTTTAAATACTCAATAACGTCAAACCTGTTTCAATGGTTTCAGCAAACTTTTCAAGTCCTTCAAAAGGCTGGGATCCTTCTCCTTGTTCATCTGTTAGTTTCTGGCTAAGACATTCTTTCGCCAACTGCATACTGCTGGTCATGAAACTTGACCAATACATAGGCTCAGAACCAGTTGCTGCAGAAAATATAGATTAATCCTAAATAATTTCTCATAGTTACCACAAGCTATTTCTTAAAATAATACATTTCAAATAGATAAATTCTTAATCTTCCACAAGATATTTAGCATCAAGGTGTTACTCAAGGATACAATATTCTAGAAACTACCCTTGAAATTTAAACATCACCTTACAATGATTGAGAAGGGGAAAGAAAAAAAAAAATCACAGTAAAAGTCCAGAGACATGTGCTCTCATTACATGATATAAAGCCAAATATTAATTCATGTATTCATTCAACAAGTATTTAATGGGTATTTTACAGACACACGAGCTGTTCAAAAGACTGAGAGCAGGGGTTGACAAACTTTCTACAAAGGGTCAGACAGTAAATATTTTAGGCTTTGGGGGCCATGTAGTGTCTCTATCACAACTACTTAACTCTCACTCCAATACAAAAGCAGCCAGAGAGAATAAATAAATGAAGGAGTATGTTGGTGTTCAAATGAAAATTTATTTACAAAAACAGGTAACAAACCAGATTTGGTCTGCTGGCCATAGTTAGATGACCTCTTGTACGGGTAGAAAAATAAAATAATTATTAATTCTGCCCTCAGAGAGTCCACAACACAGTGGAAGAAATGAGATAAGAGTAAGAAGAATTAGTAGGCAACTATTAAGTGTCAACAGAAAACATTATGACAGCTGAGGTGAATTCTTCTAGCTGAGGGAATTAACATGTAAACAGAGAGAGTTAGCAGTTGACCTAGGCTTCAGTAGATAAAATAAAAGAGCATCTTTGGAGGAAGAAATACATGAACTGAAAATGTTCCAGCTCTTCGCCTCATGAGAGAATTCCACCACACTTCCTTATGTTTTTTCAAAACAAACTTATAGAGATTACTAGAATTATTGCCTTCCAAATGGAATTTAAAAGCCCTTCTAACAGAGCATTTTTAAAGTAAGGAGAAATAATACTTTCCATAAGAAAGTATTATTATATCTACTCATCATAGTTAAAAGATAAAATATTCTCATTAATTAAATACCAGATTATTATGAAGGATTTCCATGCACAGATTACCAATTTTCAAAATACAGGTACTATAATTCTACTAAGCATAATTTAAATTTTGGTGTTTCAGACAGCACTTGAAATTATAATTCTTCAAGTATATATTTACAAATATCAATCTGTCAGTGAAAAGAGAATTTAAGTACATAGTTTAAGATAACTTACCATTGTAATTTAACTGGTTTATAAAATTCACACACACATAAATACACACTCTGCAGTAGAAAATCTGATATACAACATAGTGGTTAGGAGCAAGGACTCCAGAACCACACTGCATGGGTTCAGATCCCATCTTTTCCACTTAACTAGCTATGACCTTGGACAAGTTATTAAACCTATATGTGTGCTTCAATGTTCTGTTCTGCAAAATGGAGATTTAAAAAAATCTATTTCAAAGAGCTATTGTGAGGATAATATTTGTAAAGCATTAAGTATAGTTGCTGGCATGCAAGAAGCATTATATATATGTTTGATAAATCAGAAAACATCTTATGTGTAATTAAAACTACCACACACATATACTTGTAAACAATTACTTACTACAACTTTAAAGCTTTTCCCTCCCAAAGTTTTTTCCCATTTATCCAATCCTAAGAAAGAGATAAAATAATTGTACAATGAATACCTGCATACCCTTCACCTAGATTCATCAAGATTCTACACATACGCATATACACATACACTCTCATACTTTTGCTGAATTATTTGAAGATAAACTGTGGACATCATAACACTCACTCTTAAATACCTCAGCATGTAACTCCTAAGAACAAGAACATTCTCCTGCAAAATACACTCAAGAAATATAACTCTGATACAAGAATATCTTATATACATTTTATACCCAAATTTCCTCAGCTATCCTTATAACACACTTCATAGCAACAAATAAATAAGGTACAATTATATACTGCAATTAGTTATTCATGTGATTAGCCTCCTTAATCTGGAACTATTCCTCCATCCTTCTTGTCTTCTATGACATGGACATTTTTTAACAGTACAGACCATTTAGTTTACAAAATTTCACTTATTTTGAATTTGTCTAACTGCTGCTCTATGATTTTATTCAGATTAAGTACTTTTAGCAGGAACAGTAAGTACATCACTGATCTGTGTCTTCTTAGGTGATCATATCAGGACACACATGAAATCAGTTTGACCCATTATTGATGAAGTTAAGTTTAACCATGCAGTTATTTATGGTAGTGACCGTCAATTTTCTCCACTGTAAAAGAAACTTTGTAAATAAAATGTAGCCCTGGCCAGGTGGTTCAGTTGGTTGGAGCATCATCCCATGTAGCAAAAGACTATGGGTTCGATTCCCAGTCAGGGCGCATACAGAAGGCAACTGATCGATATTTCTCTCTCACATCAATGTTTCTCTCCCTCTCTTTCTCTCTTCCTCTCTCTAAACATATGCTCGGGTGAGGATTAAAAAATAATATGCAATCAGCGGGATATAATTTGATACTGTTTAAATATTAAGTTCCTCAACAACCCTTCACCAAATGGTATTATCATTCATTGATGATTCTGTTATGTATCAATTTTTACTATGATGGCCAAAAAAATGATAAATTCTATTTTTTTTGTTTATAAGTAGGTATTCTACTGCAATGAAGATCTTTCCCTTCTCCCTGTCCCCTTACATACTTATTTATTTGTATCAATATGGACTTAGGGTAATTTTTTTTTTAATCCTCACCCGAGGATATATTTGCATTTATCTTCAGATAGAGCAGGAGGGAGGAAGAGAGAGAGAGAAACATCGATGTGAAAGAGACACATCGACTGGTTGCCAGCCACATGACCCCAACTGGGGCCAGGGACGCAGGAATCGCAACCGAGGTACATGCCCCTTAGAGGGAACCAAACCCAGGACTCGCTGGCCTGCAGGCCGACACTCTAACCTCTAAGCCAAACTGGCCAGGGCTTAGGGTATTTTTATTTTATTTTTTATTTAGTATGTAATAATCCATTATTGTCATTATTCTTCTTGATACTCAAGCTTTCCCAGATTTAGCTAAAGGATACCCTTCATGCCCAATCCTGTGCCATTTTAACATTTTTCCATAAATTTTTGAGCACTTACTTGCTTTCTGGCACAATGAATCTTTAAAACACAACAAGGTAACTAGTAACAAATAATTAAACCAACCATCTACATACTGAAGTTCCTGTAGCTAAACAGTGTAAATTGGCAGAGAAATAATGCTAAAGGTACAATCACACGCTCCCTACACAGATCACAAACACAATGCAAAGTAATAAATACTAAATTTAATGCAATTAGGTCATTTGCCAATCTCTGAAAAATAAAATAGAAACAACCAGGAGCACATGGCACACCTACCTAGGCGAGGTCTAGGTCGGAAGACCATTTCTAGCCCTTTCACTTCCAGTGCACAATTATCCTGTAGCAAGGAGCCCCATGGAACGGACAGAGAAATTGACTGGATGAATCCTTCAGTGACTTCTAAAGGCGCATCTGCTGACTCCAGGATCTCATTGAGACACTAAAGAGAAAAACCAAGTGCAATTTGAACTCATAAGAACGTAAAATTGTTAACTTCTTCAAAGATGCTGAATATGCTCATATATGCATCAGGCACTAGGGACAGAGAAAGCCGAGACCTAATTAAAGATGATTCCTGGTCCCCACTAGGCTTACAAAGATAGCTTACCATGAAAGACACATGTAATTAAAGTGTGATGAGGTGCATGACAGAGGAAATGCACTGTGCTATTTGAGCATGTAAAATAACCTAACCTGGAGATTCAAGGCAGGCCAGCTGAGGAAATACTATTTAAAGTTGAGACCAGAAGGCTGAGGAGTTAAACAGGCAAAGCATTCTAGGCAGACAAAGGCATATGGAAGGATTTTTTAAAAAGCAGAGGTCAGAGAGTACAAGCACACATATTTGAGATATATGAGTATCTGAAAAGCTGCTTTAGCTTAGTGTACTGTGCCAGGGTGATGAGCCAGAGATAAGGCTATAGAGATAAAGGAGAGCGGAATCCAAAGAGCCTTGTAATTCATGTTAAAGAGTCTGAAATTTATCTGTAGGGCAAGGTGAAACCACGGGAGGATTTTAAGTAAGGGTGCCGTGACGGGATTAGAACTTTTAGAGGGCCTTCCTGCTGCCAGGTAGAGCATGGATACAGGAGGAAAGCAAAACTCAGGCAGAGCGGTTGTTACGAGTAAGAGAAGCTAGAGAAATTGGTTTGGCAAGCAGAGTGACACTGAGGACAGTCAGAAGTGGAGGGACTCTCGTACTGTATTAGGAAACAAAGTTAATTAGCATCATGAGGGATAAAGAAAAGAAAAAAATGGAGAATGACTCCCAGGTGCTGGCTTGGACAACTGCTCAGACAGGGGTACCATTTACTTAGACAAGAAAGCTGGAGAAGCTGGTTAGGTGAAAGATGAGGCGTTAAGTTTCAAAAAATACATTTGAGCTGATATCTGGGTGGAGATGTCTAGGAAGCAGCTGGAAATTCTGGTCTAGAACTCAGGAGAGTCATCTGGGCTGGAGATGAAGAAGGGCATTATAAACACGAGGTAAATGAAGCCACGGGGGTAAAGAGAGACAACCTTTGGGAACTTATGTAGAGTAAAATAGCAAGAGGCCTAGGACAGAACCATGACGAACACCAATATTTAAGAAACAGGTTAAGAAAGAGGAACCTGCCCTGGCTGGTTTGGCTCGGCGGTTAGAACATTGGCCGGTGGACCAATGAGTCTCCGGTTTGATTCTGGTCAAGGGCACATACCTGGGATGCAGTTCGTCCCTGGCCCTGGTCGGGTCGTGCAGGAGGCAACCAGTCAATGTGGCTCTATCACATTGATGTTTCTCTCTGTCTGTCTGTCTCTCCCCCCTCCCCCACCCACTCTGTCTGATGATAAATGGAAAAATATCCTCAGGTGAGGAATTTAAAAAAGAAAGAAAGAGGAACCTACAAAAAGCAGAGAGGAGAAGGAAAATCAAGAAAGCTTCACGTCCAGAAAATCGTGGAAAGACAATATGCAAGAAAACAGTGGTCAAGTGCAGCTACAGCTAACAAGGAGTAAAAGATTTGTAAATGTCCACTGGATTTGGTGATATTTAGGGTATTGGGGATGCCACTGAGGGGGATTTTGGTGGAGGGGGGAGGCAAACCAGACTATAACAGAAGGAAGACAGAATGGTGTAAATACAGTTAGCAGAATAATTAAATGCATCTTTTCACAGACAATGAGTTCTTTAAATTAAAAGTTACTAAATGCCAGTTTATATGTAGGGTACTTTCTGGATGCCATGGTGCATAAGGGTAGAATCATAATTCTTTATCTACAAGCCTAATGCTGAATATCGAGTGAGACTGAGACTGGCTCATGTTTTAACAGAGGTCACTACTGAAAGGCTTTCTTCACGCTGGGGTTTGTGTAATCCTACAGACTTTCTAAAAACTGCATGGGCATGGGTGGTTTCAAGGTATAGACACCCAGACCCTTACTCTCTAAAGATATTCTTTCCCAAAGTGACGTTCCTCAGAAGAGTCCTTAGAGCAGTGGCATCATGTTGGGTCTCCGTTCCCATATCCCTTTGCATAATCTCACTTCTCCCACTTAGCCAAAAAAGACCTATCTTTTTACCTTCCTGAATCCTCCCTTATACACTGCCTAGGTTATAAAAATCTCCAGACAGGGCCAGCAACAAGTTTTCTTGGCTTTCCCTATCTTATACATAATTTTGACATGGCATTCAAAGAAAGTCAAAGAACTCGGTGATATTGCTACTGCAAAATCCCTTCCATTTTCATCTATTTATTTATGACATCAGCATTTCTCAAGCTTATAACTATTTAAAAATTTTAGAATGAGCCCTGGCTGGGTGACTCAGTTGGTGGGAGCATCATCCCATACACCAAAAAGGTTGAGTGTTTGATTCCCAGTCAGGGTGTGAACAGTAGGCAACTGATTGATGTTTCTCACATCAATGTGTATGTCTCTCTCTTTCTCTCCCCCCGCCCCAAAATCAATAAGAACATATTCTCAGGTGAGGATTTAAAAAAAAGAAAAAGAAAATGTATATGAAAGTACCCAATACTATATAGAGAGATATAAAGTAGTTAATAAATGTTCACTATTATCTTCAAAAACAAACTAAAATCCCCTACCTTGACGCCATGTCCCCTCAAGTCATCAACCTCACTCCTCTTTCTTTAGTTGAGGCAGCTATTTGCTCAAACCACAAACTACTATCTGCCTTCTAACCCTTGGCTCCTGTGAAACTGCTCTTAACTGCCAATAGAGTGACAAATGCAATGTATAATGTACATCTTCCTTGAATTTCATCTAAATCTAATTCCTATTTTGAAATTCTGACTGTCCTTGGCTTCTGTAACACTCTTCAATGTCTCAGTCTTTTTTCCAATTCTTTACCACTTAAAATGATGGTATTCATCTAAGTTTCATCTTCAGCCTTTGTTTCTCAACTCAATTTACCACTGCCCATGCACTTTATACCATTCCAGTGTTTGTTACCACTGATACTCTGATAACTCCCAAATCTTTATCTCCAACTCTTCCTCAACTCCCATACTATATAGCAATTTTGACCACTTCAATGGGAAAAGAGTTCACGAAAGAGACCATTCCAACTGTGGAATAGTTCCAAACCCCTGGCCTCCATTCCTCCCTCCCACTTCAAGCCCCTTGAAGTTAGTAGTCTAACAGATGATCTAATATGGATGAGTAGAAAAATTAGACATTCCACATTAAACTTTTCAGATTTTTAGATTTAAAAGTTGTACTAATATTTAAGGTGCAAAGGGCATCGGCACCCTCACTCCAGCCATATATCACACTGGAACAAAGAGAAGACCAGTAGGTCCATAATGGGGAAGAGTTAAGAGCGGTGCCTTCAGCTGGATGCTGCATTTCAGCACACTGAAACTTACTTGAGCATCATTCTACACAATAAAAACAGACCTTTAGCCCTGGTCGGGTGGCTCAAATGGTTGGAGCATCATCCTGTACAACAAAAAGGTTGTGGGTTCGATTCCCGATCAGGGCACATACCTAGGTAGCAGGTTCAAACCCCAGTTAAGATGCATACAGGAGGCAACAGATCGAAGTTTCTTTTTCTCCCTTCCTCTCTCTCTAAAAAACAAAACAAAACAAAACAATCAATAAAGAAACATATCCTGGGGTGAGGATTAAAAAACAACAACAGACCTTTAAGCAGTAGAATCTTGGTAAAGAGACAGAAAGTGACAATAACTTTCTGATTATCTGGTTTTTTATGACTAAATATTTAAGACTTGAATTTAAAGATAAAAAGCAAATTTCTTCTGCATAAACAGAAGAATTCTAAATATGCTGACCACTTATGTGATGACAGATGGCTATCAGTAGTATATGCTACCTGGCAGGTATATTCCAAAAAACAAAACATACCTTATCTTTTCAAAGTAAAGATACCACTTTAGTAATAAGTGAGAAAGTAAGTGTTTTTCAAAGGATACTTGTACTATAGGGAGAATGTATTGAAAAATTATATTTAGATAGAGTGGGGGGTAGGGACATGATTTTGTTGCTGAAATAATGTCTATTAAAAATACTGTCCTGCCTGGTCGGTGTGGCTCAGCGGTTGAGCGTTGAGCCATGCATGAGGTCGCTGGTTCAATTGCTGGTCAGGGCACATGCCCGGGTTATGGGCCAAATCCATAGTGGGGGGCATGCAGGAGGTGGCCAATTTATGTTCTAGCTCATCAATGTTTCTATCTCTTTCTCTCTCTCCCTTCTTCTCTCTCTAAAAATCAATAAAGAAAAATAAAATAAAAATACTGCCCTTTTTTAAGTCCTTTTCTTCACAAATTATAAAAGGTTTGAAAGCATGGGAAATTAACCCAATGAACCTAAGAGTCTGCTGAACACAATTTTTTTTTTTATCCTCACCCAAGGACATTTTTCCATTTTTTTGTTCAGATAGAGTGGGAGGGAGAGAGAGGAAGAGAGAGAGAGAAACATCGACGTGAAAGGGACACATCGTGTGGCTGCCACCCACACGACCAACCAGGGCCGAGGACAAACTGCAACCGAGGTACATGCCCTTAGCGGGAACCGAACCCGGGTCTCTCTGGACCGCAGGCCGACGCTCTAACCGCTGAACCAAACCGGCCAGGGCCTGAACACAATTTTTTAAAATGGGTTTTGAAGTTAGTTTTTTATACATATAAATATGTAACACCTTCCAATTAATTAGCAAGAATAACTCATTGAGAGCAAGGAAAAAGGGAATGTCACTGCCGATTTTACCATAATCCTGTGCATAATTGATGGTTCAGAATTTAAACATTAGTGATGTCACCAATGATGCAAGTCTTCCATTTGGATCTGTGAATCTGTGAAGTTATCTTTTTTCCGTAATAAAAGTCATTCAAATCAAGTGTCAAAAATAACTGAATTTTGAATCAGAAGTTTGAATAGTTATATGTAAGTAAGTGTCACATCAAGATTTATCTTGGTCATCAACAGAACACACTATAATTAATAAATAAATAAACAAACAGCAACAGTAAATGTTTCCTGAATGTTTTATTTGACATTATCATTTTGATTGGGTATATCCCTCACCTTCAAGGAACAGAACAAATAATCTTCAGAGTAAGTCTAGCCATACATAAGTCACTCCGCCAATGATCCTGAAGTCAAACTGTAAATCAAATATCACCACCTCTGATTTCCCATGAGGATTAAATAAAACCATACATATTAAGAGTGCCTAGCACAGTGCCTTAAATAAAAAGATGCTCAATAAAAATTTACTGTCCTTTCCTTGCCTTGAAGTCATAGGATTAATAAAGAAATAATGGCCTTAGGAATAGACAGGTTTGAATTCTCACTGTACCACCTGTTAACCTTGTCACTTGGGGAAAACTATTTAACTCCATCTGTAAAATGAAAATAACAATACCCACCTTATAAGGTTAATGTGAAAAGTCATTAAAGAATAACATGTACAAAGTTATTCGACCCACAAAAGACAGTTAATAAATGTCCAACCTTCTTCCTTCAAGGCAGCCTATTCATAACTGTTACAAAAGTATAGACTCATGGGTCATTGAATTTTATTTTTTCAGTCATTGAATTTTAAAATATCCATCATAATCCCTATCTTCTGGTAAGAATTACAGCAATACAGTACCTTGACACAGTGCCTGGCATGAAGCGGATACTCCGTTAATGTTTACTGAACTCGGGTGAATTATGTCCAATGTCAATAGGTTAACTGTGGCAGCCTGGGCTGGCCTGGTGTGGAACTGGGTCTTTCTGCTACTGAGACCAGGGCTCTTCCCACTATCCTATGTACTCTCCCTAGTTTAAATAATCTACTTACCGATATCCATGCTAGAGCAAATCAACTTAAGGACCATAATACAGTATTAGCATAATTTGAACTTTACAGGTTTCTATGGCTAAGGAATGCATTACTTTGTTAAAATACTTTTACACAGCTTTTTACACAGTTTAAATTAAGAGTAAAAAAGCATTCTTTTGTTTTGCACAAGTACCACAGGAAAGCCATCTGTATTTATGATTTTCTTAATGTAGACTGTTTAGGATTGCTTTAAGAGTAGTAAAACTCTAGACTGGTCCAACCAATTCAAACTATAAGCAGCAAACAATAAATAAAGGGTTGGCAGAAGGGGGAAAGCCACTTGTCAAACCCAAGGCTGAGTATACTTTAAGTAAAATACTATTCGGTGAACATACAAATGCAAGGACAACTATATGTGGTGAGTTGAAATATACATGAAGCACCTGTAAAACACAATGAGTCAACTCACAGCTTCTGGATGACAAGCAGAAAACAAACAGGATTTAGATGTCTGAGAACTGCAGTTTAGCGCTTTTGCAACACCTGCGTTTACGCTGTCACGTGAAACCAATAGCACTACCAGAGCCACGCAATTCACAGGCTGGCCTTACAACATATCAACAAGCAAAAGCAGGCAAAGGAGGCCTTCACCTAACTTTCTTCCAGATGGCAAACGATGTACGGGGTCCGCGCTGTGCAAGTAGCTAACCCAAAATAAATCACCGAATCCCTAGGAATTCTGACATCCAAAGGTCCTCCTCATCCTTAATCTTTCCAGAGTGTCGTCCCAAGAAATCGGGTTTGTTTGCCACAGAACCCGGCGACCCCTTCAACCTGAAGGGGCAACACTGGTCACCTCCCTCCATGGACCCCTCCACAGACCAGCTTCGCAGACCCCAAGCCACTGACCCAACTGACTCCCACAGGGTAGACTCCAGTATCTCTGTTAAGTCTTTGCACAACGTGATTTGGGAGCGCAAACTTGCTAGAAAGAGATTACACAACACTTGAACACATTTATCTTAGCCCTGCCACACTTCCCAGAGAGGGGCTGAATGCCACCAATTTTGGATGACACGCCTTCAAATCGCCCTAAGGAGGGGAGCGACTCCCGCCTGGCTAGCCGCCGGCAGCTCTTACCCATTTGTCCAAGGGGACCTGGGCGAGGGACCCGGTGCCCTGATACAGGTCCAGGCTGAGCTGCTCCAGGCTCAGCTTCTCCTGCAGGAAGTGGCCCAGGTACCTCTGCAGGAGGTACCGACAGGCCCTCTTCTTGATGGACTCTGAAAACGGCCACGGCATGATGAAGGCTGGCAGCTGGGCCGGCGCGGGCTACGAGCGGCGGCGGCGGCTCCGGCCTCGGGGCCCAGGCTCCGGCTCCAGGCCGCGGCAGCGGCGCCTCGGGTCCGGGCCAGCTTCCCCAGGCCGTGGCGGGGCCTAAGTCCGGGACGGCCCCTCCATGCCCGCTAGGCACCAGGCGTCCCTCAGGGCGACCCCATCTCCTGCGCCGCGCCGCTCCCTATAGGCCTGGCGGAGACGAGGGGTGAAGGAGTCCCGGTCGCCCCTGACCCAGGGGATTCCGGGGGGACCCGAGTCGGCACAGAGAGAGGGTGCAAGAGAATGCGCAGGGAGGCAGCAGGGCCTGAGGCAGGGGCTCAGGCGGACACCTCCACCTCCGCCGCACGACGAATTTGTTGTCATCCGAGGGCGCGCTCCCGGCTCTGGCGACGCTCCCAGCGCGTTCGCGAGACCCGGACTTCCAGCGCGCGACCAGGCGCTGGCGGAAGTGACGCCACACTGGGGCTGCCGGGGGCGGGAAGAAGAGCCCGGAAGCGAGCAGTTCCGGCTCCGAGGGGGCGGAGCGGGGGCGGGGAGGCGCGGGGGCGGCGCCGCAGGTTGGCTCCAGACGCCCTGGGAGGGAAGAGCCGGAGGACGCCGGGCGCGCGCAGGTGAGCGGACGCCGGGCTGGCTGCGGGCGGCCGGCCGCCCAGAGGAGCTGCGGGGAGGGCGGGTCCGGGGCCCTCCGAGCGGGACGCGGCGCAGCAGGCCGGACCGTGAGGGGCGGTGGCAGAAGGGGCCCGGTGCCGGGCGGAGAGGGGTCCGGAGGCGGGTCCGGCCTGGGCCGTCCCGGTCATCTCAAACCCCGACCCCGGAAACGGGCGCTCGGAGCGCCCCGGCCTGCGGGGAGGGCTGCAGCCGCTGCCGCGCATCCCTGCCGCCCATGCCGAGTATTGACCGGTATTGCCCATTGTCGGCGAGCTGATCGCCACCCGGCTCATTCAGGTATTGTTTCCAAAGCTTCATCTGCGCTCCTGTGGGGCGGCTGGCAGCTCACGGGGCTCTTTCTCCATCCTGGGTGTGCTGCCCCGTGCCCAGAAACTTGAGTTTTCGAGGCGTTTGGGGGCACAACTGCTTTCTCTGATCCGCCCCCAGCCTCCCGACCTCGCGGGAAGGAGCGAAGCACTCGCGCGGTTCCGGGCATCTGCGCCATCGCGTTTCTGCCTTTGCGGAGGCGACTCCTGCGCGGGCGGGACCGGCTCCGAACTTAGCAGCCCCCAGGCCTGCGCGGGTGTCGCCGGCCCGGGAGCCAGGCGTCCTGGGGTAGCAGCCTGGCACCGCCGCCCGGCCGAGCCTCTCTGGACCCGGCACTGCCCTTTGAGCCTCTGCCAGAAGTGAGCGTGTTCATGTCGACCCTCCGAGGATGGTCATGAAAATCAAATGCTATGAGTGAGGCGCGCACCTAACAGAGCCCTGCTACATACAGTTTAATAAAGAATAGTCAATGACGGGGATTTTATTCGTCGGTAACTCGTAAATGCCTTAGGAATACTGACACCGCCCCCAAAATATTGTCGGAGAGAGAGCTCGAGTTCCCCCTCTACAACCACCTTTTCGTTTGAAAACCAGGGTGCCCCCCCGCCCAGTGCGGAGTTGCCTAGGTTGTCGGTGCCCCTCGTTCCTTGTAGACTTGTCCCGAGCGTTCTCTGTCACTTCAACGAAAGTCTTCGCAGTTGGTAAGGTGAAAAGGGTAAAGAGGAATCAGGTAGAACCTTCCAGGAGCTTATGTTCTACAGTGAAAGATCTTCTCCTTTATTCCATAAATACTTACTGATTTCCTGCGTGCCCAGGGACTGGCAGGTGCTGGGGATACAACACTGAACCAGTTAAGGCCCTGCCCTCCTGGAGTTTACATTTTATTGAAGGCAGGGGAAACGAACAATAATCAAATTGAGTCATATGCCATGTGCTGATAAGTGCCTTAGTGGGAAAAACTAAAATAAAGCAATATAGCTGTGGCTGGTATGGCTTGGTTGGTTGGGTTTCGTCCCATGAACTGAGCAGGTTCACTTCCAGTCAGGGCACATGCCCAGGTTGTGGGCTTGACTCCTGGTAGGTGTGCAGGAGGCAGCCAGTGGGTATTCCTCTCCCTCCCTCTCTCCCCTCTCCCTCCCTCTTTCTTCCCCTCCCCCTTCCTCTTTCTCCCTCTCCCTCCCTTCCTCCCCCTCCCTTTCTCCCTCTCTCCCTTCCTCTTCCTCCCTCCCTCTCCCTCTCTCCCTTCCTTTTTCCCTCCCTCCCCCCCCTCCCTTCTTTCCTAAAAATCTATTTTAAAAAATCTTTTAAAGCAAAATAAAATAAAGTAATGTAAAGAGAATGGAGAGGGAAGAGATGTGTCACTTTTATATAGAGGGGTAAGGAAAGGCCTCTCTTTAATAAGGTGACATTTTATCAGAGACTTGGAGAAAACTAGGTAGCAAGACACATGAGTACCTGGAAGAGTTGTTTTCCAGGCAAGGGGAACAGCAAGTGCAAGGCCCTATGACGAGCATGTGTGGGGAGTTCAAGAAATAACAGGAGGGGAAGGGGGGGCATGGAGTGAGGGTCAGGTCATTTCCTGCATCCTAGGCCATTGTAAGAACTTTGGCTTATACTCTGAGTGAAGGAGTTTGAGGAGAGGAGTAACATAATCTGGCCTGTTTACTAACTGCTGTGTTGAGAATAGACTTGTGTGGGAGGACCAGAGGTGAAACAGCAAGGCCAGTTGGAAGGATAGTGCAGTCATCCAGGCAAAAGATGGCAGTGGCTTGGACTGGAGGGTGGCAGTGAAGATGGTAAGAAACAGTTGGATTGTGGATATATTTTGAAGATAGTAAGAAATGTTTGTGAATAATTATGATACTTGCTATAAAAGGAGTATAATCAAAGTGGAATGAAAAGATGGGATCTCATCTGGCAGGGAATTAGAATAGGCCTTGGGAGGTTTAAACTGAACTTTTGAGGAATAGGTACAATTGACTTCTTTCAGGTTCACATGTTAAATAACAAGTGATTTATTTTGGAATGTAGAATTACATTTAGGTTGTCCATAGATTGCCTTGAATTTCAGGTGTCAGAAAAGGAAAGTGAAATCGGGAGATTTTAGAACAAACATGCCCTCTTCAAGTTAAGTGTGTTGCCTTGTACATTTTATGCTTTTTAGAAACTCAGCATAAATATTAAGGTTCAGGACCTGCCGTTACAACTTTTGCTCAAATAAGATGCGAACTCATCCTAATTCACAGTACTATGTTTGTGTGTTATCAAAGTACTGTCACAAAATATTAACACCTAGCATTAATTGAGGAAGATGAATTACCAACCAAACAATGTGAACTTTTTAAGAATTCTATAAAAGGATGTCTAATGGGTCATCCTTCAAAGAAATCTATGTTAACATTTGAAATAAAAGAAAAAGCCAGTGAGATGTCATTGGCCTTTTTAAAAAATATAATACCAAATTACATAATCTAGGGGATTGTACCTGATGTAACAGGAATATGTTAGGGTTCCCACGTCGCACATTTCTTGTCATACAAGACAGCAGTCACAGCCTCCCTACATAGTGTAAAGAGCACTGAAATTGCAGTCAAATGGCTTGAGTTGCAGGGTCAGCTCTTTCATCTTTTAAGATATTTTTAAATATTTTTAGTGTACATTAATTAACGTAATATGTCTTGAGCTTACCATGTGCCCAGCACCATGTTAAGTACTTCCATATATTCACTCATTTAGTTCTGTTTCCCTTAAAGGTAGATGGTTTTTGTTAGCTTCATTTAAGAGAGGAGGGCTGTGTAACAGATTAAAATATCTTGCCTCAAGTTGCAGAGTAACTAAGTAGCAGGGCTGAGATGCTAGCCCCATCAGTCTGTTCAAGAGCCCCTTATCAATTCCTGTTCATGTTGAGAGGACTTTGCAGCCTGATGTATAATACAATAAAAGTAGCCATGATTAACATATTGCCTTCTAGTCCTGACTGGTTTGGCTCAGCAGTTAGAGCGTCAGCCCGCGAGGACCAAAGAGTCTCGGGTTCGATTCTGGTCAAGGGCATGTACCTCGTTTGTGGTTTGGTCCCAGGCCTCGGTTGGGGTCATGCGGGAGACAACCAATCGATGTGTCTGAAACACATCAGTGTTTCTCTCTCTCTCTCTCCTTCCCGTTCTATCTGAAAATAAATGGAAAAATATCCTCGGGTGAAGATTTAAAAATAAAAAGACATTGGCCCTGGCAGGTTTGGCTCAGCGGTTGAAGCATTGGCCTGCGGACCAGAGAGTCCCGGGTTCGGTTCCTGCTAGGAGCACGTACTACCAAAAAATCAAAAAATAAAAAGACATTGCTTTCTAGCTGTCAGCTCACTGTTGTAATTCAATGAAAAGTCTTTCAAAGTGAAAATTTGGAACCTATATACTGCTCTTGAAATCTCTGGCTGTTCTTTTCTCAGGGTGGCTCCTAAATTATTTATGTATGATGTTATAAGGAATCATTTTGGAAACATTATACGAGGTGATGCAATTTAGCAGAATAACTAACAGCAGCTGTAAGATATTCTGGTTTTTGAAGGCACTGGCAAGAGACTATTGATCGGAACCTGGTGAAAAGCCAGTTTAGAGTTTGAATGGAAAACAAACAGGTTTTCTAGTTTATGTCTCTTTAGATACTGATTTGTTTTGTGCTGGTTAGAATGTACTTTAAATATAGTACGAAATTACATATATAACCTAGAGGATTATATAGAAACAAAAACTAATTGCTGGATTTTTTTTTAAGCATTCAATTTCAAAAGGTTTTAAGTTCTTAGACTCATTTACAGTTTCTGGTTTTGAAGGAAAAGTTGTTTATAGGGTTGTAGTGTTGCTACTTATTAACAGTTGAAAAGGCTTATCAAATTAATGCTATATATTTCTTAACCTTCAGCTCCCCACTTAATCAACAAAAGTACAAGACAATTCTGTTGGCTTGATTGGTTATCACTAGGTTGTATGTGTGTGTCTCTGTCATTGTTGAAAGTAGGGTGCAGAGTAATTATATAAATCATTATACAAATGGGATCATAAGCCATTTGTACTTTAATTACAAGTACTTTATATTTGTAATAATACAAATGATTTTGATTTAAACTGTTTCCTTCAAAATAAACATGTCAGAACTATTGAAAACATTAAATATTGTATAGAAAATAAAGGTTAAGCCCTGGCCAGTTTGGCTCAGCGGTTAGAGCGTTGGCCTGCGGTCCAGAGAGACCCAGGTTCGGTTCCCGCTAAGGGCACGTACTTCGGTTGCAGTTTGTCCCCGGCCCTGGTTGGTCGTGCGGGTGGCGGCCGCTCGATGTGTCCCTTCACGTCGATGTTTCTCACTCTCTCTCCCTTCCTCTCTCTCCCTCCCATTCTATCTGTACAAAAAATGGAAAATATCCTCGGGTGAGGATTAAAAAAAAAAAAAAAAAAAAAAAAAGAAAATAAAGGTTAAACTAGTTTTAGTTTTGCCTAAAAGTTGCTATTTATGATTAATCACCTTTCTTTATCTTTACTTTCAAAACAGTTGCTTGAGCCCTGGCCGGTTTGGCTCAGCGGTTAGAGCGCCCGCCTGCGGTCCGGAGAGACCCGGGTTCGGTTCCCGCTAAGGGCATGTACCTTGGTTGCAGTTTGTCCCCGGCCCTGGTTGGTCATGCGGGTGGCAGCCACTCGATGTGTCCCTTCACGTCAATGTTTCTCTCTCTCTCTCCCTTCCTCTCTCTCCCTCCCACTCTATCAGTACAAAAAATGGAAAAATATCCTCGGGTGAGGATAAAAAATAAATAAATTCTAGACAGTTTTGCATAGTACTCCATAATACTGTTACTATAACAGTGGTATGTATTTTCTAAGAATGTCTACCAAGTTTTTCCTGTAGCTTTGTATACCCCTTGTCACAAGGTTGAGTACTACATTTTGAGATTCAGAGAATTAGGGTTTTTTTTGTTTGTTTTTTCA